TTTTTTCCAGTGGGAAGAACTCTGATTGGGCAGAAGTTAGAAAGAAACAAATTTTTGTTTCAGGAAAATGAAGAATTTTTTTTTTTTTTTAACAATTAGAGCTTTCCCTTCTCAAGTGCAAGATCTAGTCCCTGGAAATATTTCAGCAGAGGACAAAAATCACCTACACCCATCCCATTCATAAAGCTAATCCAGGTCACACATGTAAGCCTTTGTGATTTTCACCAAAAACTTGTTGCAGTGACCAGCATTTTGTCTCTGGGGATCCATCCAGCTACCATCCTGTTCCATGCCCTGCTCATCCTTCCAATTAGCTTGCCTGGGTCCTCAGATACCTTCATTCCAATCTGTGTCTTTTAGGTCTGTTCTCTAGCCTGCTGCATGGGTGGACAATGTAGTTTGGACTTGCTCTCCCACTACCCAGGGCTGTCTGCTATCTCTACACAACCGCAGGCAGTAGGCATTGTGCCCCAACTCCTCCCCCTGTCCCACCTCAGTCAGAGGTGGCTGCCCACCTGCCCCTGCCTGACACAGGAAGAGGACCAGGAGGCAGGGGAATTGAGTCCCAAACAGGGCGAGGATTTAATTTTTAAATGATTTCTACATTTACGTCCACATCTATGGTTCTATGATTGTTTCCTTTTCAGTTGTTTTCCTCATTCCTAAGCTACATTTCTCTTGCTTATTAATTTATCAGTCTTACTTTGCAAGTACCATGAGAAAATCAAGCCTGTTCCTGTTTTAATGGTGTCATTCCTTCAACTGCCTGACCAGGCTCTCCCGTTCTCCCGTGTTCCTGCCAGCCTGGGTGACTGGTTTTGCCTTTCACTTTGTTGATTATTCTGCAAGGAAGAAGCCGCAAGCCCATGTGTTCCCATGGATGACTTACTGCTCTCCCTCTAATGGGTGCCAACATTAGCAGTCTTATTCTTACCTGAAGTTCTCCTGCAGAGGACGCTGTTTCCCACACTACCACCACCTCGCCAGCCCTCTGGCAGGGCTCAGTGGACACTGAGTATTGCCAGGCTCTTCTGCAGGGAAGGCAGGCCTGCTGCCCAGTGGGGCAGCTCTTTCTGATGCCAAAAAGAGAGCTTGTTTTTCATGATGAAAACATGTGTTGTTCCATTTGGCAGAGTCACGATTAGTAGGTAGAAAATATAGAGCTCTACACCCCATAAGGATCTTGGAATAAATCTTCAGAGAATTGAGCTGGGAAAACTATATAGTGTTACAACACTCATTTGCTTTCTGAACAAACATTTACTGAGTAACCGCTTTGCCCTGAAGCCTCAGAAGTTAGAAAGAAAAATAGATCTCAAAAAAAAAGTATCTCGCGAAAGAGACATGTAAACTCTAATGTACTCAGCATGTGAGTAAAATGCCGTGGGAATACACATGGGGAGCAGTGAACAAATAACCATCCCTTACCTACTATCCTGAGCTCTGGAGAGTAGGACAGGGCTCCAGTTCCTGATGCGCCACCTCCTATCTGAGAGATTTTGGACGAGTCATCTCAGTACACTAAAATCTACACTCAGCAGTAGTGCTGGAAAGATTAAATGAAAGTCAAGGCAAAAACCCTGCAAAATGTGTGGCACAGAGTCGGTTAATAAAAACGTCGCTTTTCTTCTCTTTGATTCCCTCTCAGGTATTCTCTGTAGAAATTATCAGATTATCAGAGCCCCTTCTCCTACCCCATTGGTGCTGTCCAGCTGCCAGTCCCGACCTCTCCAAATGTCTCCCTATGATGAAGCTTCTGGACTTTTTCCTCATGACATACAGGGCTGTCTGTGGACTCCACACCTGAAACATTGTCACTTTTCTTCTTTTTCTTCTCCTCTTTGTTTCTCATTCTCTCTTTCATGGCTTTTCCTCCTGAGACACCACGCTCCCATTTTGTGATTTCTCATTCCATTTTCTTGGCACAAGGAAGAAACCCCTAGTGTCTCAGCCCCTGATTCTGGCTAATTATTCAACCTCATCCTTCCTGTATAGAGCTTGCTTCTACCATCTACACACATCACAGTTTCAGGGATGTGGACCTTCGTTGTACATCATGGATGTATCACCATTCTGTCTTGGAATGCCAGTTGGTCGATGCCTTACTCTGAAGGCAGCTCCTGACCAGTGATGTGAATAACAGAGGTTCCCTCATTTTGAAGACCAGGGAAGTCTCCATTAAAATGTATGGGAATAGAACTTGGGGTGAGCAGGAGAGTATAAACAAGGTAAGAAACTAGGTTCCTCTAGCACAGAAGCCAAGGATAGACAAGCCCTGTAGTTATTTTTCACACCGGTCTTTCTCTATTATTGTAACTTTTACACAGTATAAAGAAGGAAATACACATTTAATAAATAGAAAATATTTATTATACAGCATTATCAAGATTCTTTGACAAAAAGGTAGTTACGAGCCAAAGGAAAACACTTTTACAAGAAGCTAAACAACTTGCATAAGCAGATACATTAAAGTGAAGAGTTTCTGTCCTTTTGGTACAGGGTGTGTATGTGTACATTTCCAATTTTGAATAATTATTACATAAGAGCTAATACTCTATTGTATTTAGGGAAACTTTTAATCACAATAATAGTAGGCATTCAGAGAAATAATGTGATCAGTATTAAATGTGTTGAATGTCTCAGACTAAAATCTCACAACAAACTGACATCTTCTATTATTCGAAAGTAGAGCTGTTTTCCTGATCTATTCGTACTTTAAAAAAACCTGAATGCACAGGTCTTGTGCTGTCAAGGACATGTGTTAGTGGCATTAAGATAAAAAAAAAAACATGTCCCACTCGTTACAGTATGCTTTAATTGCAAATTTGCCATTAAGTGGGCCATCTATTAAGCATTGAAACCATCCACTTTCCACATTCTGCTTCATGATGATAAAAATATAGCACTGAAATCCACATTTCAGTCCTGAGTTCTCTCTACCAAAGGTGGTATAAAATATATATTTTAAAGGAAAGGCAGTCCATTCCATCTTGGAACCTACTAAACTTAGTAGTCTATGGGAAGACACAAGAAACATGAACCTCAAACATTGGAGTTGTTGTTAAATTCTGAAAAATGATAAGACAGGTATGTAAATATTCCAAGATGATTTTTGGCTGAGAAGTCAGCAGCTTCAACATGCAGGAAGCATATTAAAATATAATTGCACATAAGGCATAAACAAAGATATTTAAGGGAGTAAGATTCAACAAATAATAGAAGAAATCAAAAGGGCAATAAAAATCACTTTTAGTGGATATAAAAAAAGGAGGGTAAAAATGAAACATTTAGATTACATGTACATGGATACTACCCACAGGCAAATAGCAAAATATAAAGAAGAGTTATGACAAAAAATATAGAGACAAAAGTACACAGAAACAAAAATTAAAAGAAAGCAAAAAGTAATGATAAAGAATTTGAGAAGTTATGACCAGACATAGAGGTTAGCACATGTCTTAAGTACATAACGCTCAAGTGCCTATGAAAAATCTTTAAAAACAAAACAAAACTAAAGCAACCTGAAATAATCTAAATACTGTCATTTCCATCTTACACTGTAATAATGATATGTGCAAATTTATCAAATGTACCTTTTTTATTATTACCCACAGTTTTTGTGAACTTTTAATATAACAAATTTTCAAGCCATTTCACTAATAGCATATTTCACATCATAAAATATCAGAAAAATAAGCTCCCTCTTAGAAAAGGAAGGACCATCTGAGCAGCATATGAAAAACACTGGACCACAGTACTCAAACCTTCCAAAAGCTTCTGAAGATATTGGCGACAATGATATATAAAATGTTATTGGAACATAAAAATATTGATACTATATATAACTCAAAGACAGTCTACTAGTGGTTAAATTGACATTACATTGCACAAATTTTATTATCACGTGTATACAAAGACACAGGAACACATTCCCTTGCTAGTTACAGGGACTTTTGTGACAATAGGAGAGAATTATTTGTCGTTTAAACCAGTAATATTTGCTATGAGTACACCATAAGTTCAAAGATGGGTTTGTTTCTGTAGTACATAGGAGAAACAATGGCACCAAATACACATACTGCATTTTAGAAGTTCAACTGTTAAGTATTATTTGCTACAGTAAATGGAAGGTAACAATTTTCCCACATGGTTTGTTCTCGTTACTGAAGGGCGGCGCAGAGCCCCTTGGCGCACACACAAGTTAATCCGCTGGGCGTCTTCTGCCACTCGCAAGACGATCTCTTCTTCTGGCCTTTTTTCCCCAAAGGACCAGTAAGCGAGTGTCAAATCCGGGAAGCCTATGGTGCTGATTTCATTCAAAGCCCCACGCCGCCGCAGTGCCCTGCTTCTCATTCCTTGCTCCCTGAGCCCTCCTGGTGAAGCACGTCTGTACGATTATTAGGCTCTTCCTTTTTTCCGAGATGGAGGGAAATCACAGGGCAGCAGGCGCCCCATGCCTGTTCTCCGGTGCACTGGGTCGGGTGCGATGGGTGAAGCGAAGCCCGTTGCCGGGTCTCCGGAAGACCAGGAGCCTGTGGACGCAGGAGGGAGAGGGGCTCGAGAGAAAGGCGCTGCCATCCCACCGTGGGCTCTCTGGGCGGTGCCACGCCTGCCCCCCGCCCACCCAGCGGCGCTGTCTGGCCCCAGCCGGCTCACTGAGATATCCAACTAGGTCACTAGGAGGCGAGCGGATGCCTCCCCGCTCTGGTCCACACGTGCTGTCCCTTTTCACACTGGCCAAGTGTGTGTGGGCGTGTATACCTATTAGCAATTGTCCGAAAGAGATGATTTTTGTTGATTTTAGTTTTTTATTTTTGCAATACAAGTTACCTACTGTACGGGATTGTGCTTTGTCTGAATTCCCTTTCTTACCAGAGAAGGCTTTTGAGTCATTCAAGAATGGGGGTCCTCGCCGGGACCCGGCGTGCCCGCAGAGCGCAGTCCCTCCGGGCCCGCGCCGGCGGCAGCCCGCCCCTGCTCCCCGCGCCTCGCCCTCCGCCCGCAGGCCCCTGCCCCCGCCCTCCGCACGCCCCGCCGGCGCTCCGGCGCCCCGGCGGCCCCTGCTGTTCCCTGCGGACCCCGCCTCCCTACAGGGTGGAGGAGCTTTGCTTGTAGTCCCTCAGGATGACGGAGGCGTAGGTGACGTCGGGCGGGGTGCAGAGCACTGACTCGGACACGGGGGAGCTGGGCACCGAGCTGCCCGAGGCCACCGAGTCGCGGAAGGGCGACGGCGGCGTCAGCGCGGGCGAGTCCTCTGGGGTCGGTTTGCTGGCCGCCGGCAGGTCCTCCTCTTCCTCCTCCAGCTCGTCTTCCTCCGTGTGGCCCTCCTGCTCGTACAGGTACTCCTGCAGCAGCTTGAACCTCTCGCTGTCGTGCTCGTCCTCCGCTGGGGAGGAGGCGGGCTCCTCCCCGAAGGTGCTCAGCTGCAGCGGGAGCATCTGCAGGTGCTGCGGGGGCGCCGGGGGCGAGTACAGGGACCGCAGCCCGCTCCCCGGACCCCCGGGGACGGCGAGCACCGCGCTGAAATCCGGGATCCCGGGACCGAAGTTGGCGACCACGCTCTGCAGCTGGTCCAGCAGGGATTCCGCCGGTTGCGGCGGCGGCGGCAACTGCTGGAGGGGAGGGGGCAAGCCCTTGGGGGTAGCCGGGCCGGCCAGGAAGAGGGGGGTCTCCTCTGCGGTCAGGTGGGGCGACAGGGGCGGGCTGCTGGCCGCGGTGGGCACGCGTCGGTGCACCACCATGGAAGGACTGCCGGGAGGGCTGAAGCCCACCGGCTGGGCATCCTCCTCCTCCACGTTGTAAAGGGTCTTGGTGCTGGTATCTGAGAAGGTCAGGCTCTTGCCGGAGCCTTGGTAACTTTTAGTGAGGGGCTTGATGACGGCTGTTTGGTTGCAGGCCGTCTCATTGGTCTTCACATGCACAGAGAGGCGGTGCCACATATGCTGTCCCTTGGGCACCTGTCTTCCACCTGGTTCAGACCATGACACAGACTTGCCATTAGAACTATGAATAAAATAGAGATGGATTTATTTGCAGATATATCATGCACATGGGATAAAATACATATATGTACATAAATCATATGCAAGCCCAGCTAAGTGCAATTCGACTCCCTCCTCAACGGTATACCTGTTCTCCACACCTCCAACCTCCTCCCCTTAGGACAGATCAAACACCAAAAGCGGCAGTGACCACAGGCTGCCTCTGAAGCTGCAGCCAGTGATTCCATCCACCCCCAGACAAGGCAGGAAAGTTTTGGCCCTGAGAAGAGTTGTGGGGGAGAACAGCCAGCCTGTTGTAGAAGCAGCTATTTTCATTGAGGTCTAAGATTTCACAAAGTTATTACACACACACACACACACACACACACACACACACACACACACACACACACATCTAAGGCAATGTTAAAATTGTTGCTCAATGCAAGCCTTCAAAAGATGCCAAAATAAAAGCTGAATTACATGTGGACAATACAACATGACCATAGCTCTTGCCTCCCCTTCTTCTTAGTCCCTGGAACAAAGTAAAGCCCACAAATAAAGCTACTGTCATTGTCCTGTGGGACAATCCTCTCAGTTGCCCTTTCTGATATGCAGGTATTTCTTGTTACCAGAGCAGCCTGCTCATACACACGGCACCTGTACAGAAGAGAAAACACGCAGATGACAGGAAAACCCAGACCTCTGTTCCGCTTAAGTGTTTCATACCCTTTGAATTTCTTTTCATTTCAAAGCATTATTCCTGACACCTAATGTGGGTCACAATTCACATAATGGCTCTGATTCACACCAGCTGGTTTGGGATTACCACATTGCAAACTTTTAACTAGGTGTGTCTGGAAAAGAGATGGAACAGGAAGCCCAGCAGAATATAGATGCCCAGATCCTACTTTAGTCTCCAGCATAGTTTGATGCAAATGAGACAAAATTAGTATTCAGACAAAGCAGAAGTTACTGAGACAGAGATCCCTCCCTGGCCTTTTACTCATTGAGCCTTGGTGAAAAACAGCCTTAGGGTGTCAGCAGCCCTCTAGCATCACCAACTTTGACCTTCATGGACCCTCTTAAAACCAACCAAAGAGAATAGAAGAAAAAATGAAATGTACTGTGTGCAAAGGCTATAGATTCTATTCTGTATATTGTAATACCTCTGGTCTTTTGGACTCTGCTTATTTTCTGTATAACTTTTAGCAGATGGTGGTACCTTACCATAGCAGACTATTAATAACAACAGTGTTAATACTTAAATCGAAAATTTTTTCTTCTGCTTTTTCAGGCATTTGCATTTTTGCTGTATCCATGAAAACAACAGAGAAAGTAGCACAATAATAACACATTTGTGACATTAAAAGGCACGGGGAAAATTAACATATTTTTCTTAGGTGGATTTGTGAAACATACTATTCTATATCATAGATTTTTTGTTTGGAAAAATGTAGGAAATGATGAAAAATTAGTAGAATGGTTATTTAATCACTTTGAAAATACAAGAATGAGTACTTCAAAAATTATATGTGAGTGTCCTATTTATGATGAGGATGTTTTCACATTTCATATTTTATAACCTTGAAAAGTGAGTGAGTCAAATAAGTACAAATAAATTCCTATAACTATGATAGAAAATTCTGGATATAAATGTTCTAAAAGAGACAGAACAGCTACAATTTTTATCTCATTATTTTAGAAAAGGGTAGTTCCTCCATATGTCTGAAAATGTATGCTGTGTTTTTAATCATTTAAGAAAAATATCTTCCAAATACTATGTCAAAATTAATATTTCTCTTAAACATATGTTTAATATATTTCCTGAGAATGTCTAAGTGCTTATAAATGCAAAATTACTGACTTACCAGCTTCTACAATCTTGTTAGAATAACTGACTTTCTCCCGAGTTGAGCAAAGTAAAGAACAGGACAGTGGTGTTCCTGGCCAGAACAGGCAGTCAACTGACCAGCCAAAGGCAAGACCAGGACCCACGATTCCTCTTCTGAGTTGGAAACTCTAGGTAAGCTCACCTGCCATTTCTATCTTTCTCAATTTCCTCCAAGCCCCATTCTACTGGCACTGTTTCTCTCTTTATGCATTCAATATGCCTCTTCCAGAAAGTATAAAACCACCTGTTTACCTCTTGCCTTGCTTAAATATGCTGCACTCGACTTCCAATCACTGTGATTTGCATCATTTCCAATTGCAGAGGAAATACTTCCTCCTCCAAATGCCTGCCTCTCAACACTCATTAAGAAAATCATTAAGCTGAAAGATTGTCTTGTATCTTCATCTGGTTATGTGTATATGTGTTTTAAAAAACAAGTCTCTTGAGAGCTAGTGCGCACCTAATTTAACCCAACAAAACACTGTCCTCATCTCCATAAATACTAGCAAAAAATAACATGCTTGTATTCCTGGGACTTACTTCACTAATTCATTCACATGGGCTGTTTTCTTCAATGCTCAGGGGTTCTATATGGGCCTCTTTTTGAATTATGTGCTTCCACATATTAAAGGTAAACTGGATTAGTTATTTCTAACCTATAGACAGCTTGAATGACCCATGAATCCACACACGCATTAAGCATTATTTTTAGACTGAACCAATATTGTGCCTTGGTAGATTAGTCACTGCTATGTTTAAATGCATGTAGTTGCTGTTATGATAAAGTCTGCTTTCATAAAATGGTTGATAAAGTGGAACTAAATTCTGAGAAAGTTTTCTGTGTATGTGTGTTTTTTGTTTACAAGTGGCCACCCATAGGGGTGCAATTACTACCAAAGATTCAGGTGAAGGTTTAATAACATTTTGGTGTGAAAAAGGATTATCCTATTTGAAAATGTTGGGAACTCATTGCTATGATATTAAGAAGAGAAACACATGGAAAATGTGGGGCAGCAAAAAGGAATAAATGCATTATAAAAATGGAATATTGCTATAAAATCAGACTTTTTTGTAGTCCTAGATAACATAATATGCTGTGTTTCAGCTACCAGCTTCTTCCTTGGATTATTTGATGTTACTCAGTTTCCTAATCTAAGAAAAGCAACCTGGTCTAGAAACATCACAGAATTACCACAAAGCACCCCATTCTTCTTGCTCTAATTTCAAAATATAGGCTTAAAACAATCTCGTATTTGAAGATCCAGTGCAGGAGCACCGGGCGTAATTACCTTGGGTGGTTCAGTGTATTTATTTATATTGAAATTATTGGAGGAAATCATTGTCAGGCCTAAGAGAAGCTGGAGACATAGAGGCCGATGTACACTGACAAGAGTACCGAGCTGAGCAGGTCTAGGGCTGTCATCCCAGCTACAAAAGGCTTGAGATCTTGCTTTGGTTTTCCTTTCATTAGATAAATATCACAATCCCCCCAAACAGAAACCCAATATTTACAGCCCTTTAGAGAAGAGCTGGAAGTGGGTGGTATAAACAGATTAGTATATCTTCAGCATTCGGAGTGATCCTGTCTGTTTTACTTGTTTCAGTAAGTACTAGTTACATTTGCACAGTATGCTGCTCTCTGCACCACAGAGGTCTGAAATGGGAGTTGCAGTGGATGGGGGCTCGAGATAAGGAGGGAAGCACCCCGCACAAGCTGCCTGAGGAGGAAGCTTACACAACACCTGTCTCCCTTATGTCCAATTCAAGTCTTTGCCACCAGGCTTAATAGCTTCACAACAGACGTAAGGACAGTATCCAGAGATCCCACAGACAAGGCAAGGCCTTCACACAGGGAGGGAAGACTCTTTCCTTGGAACCTGAGGAGGTTAACATTTGTTTACCCTGAAAATGAAAATGGAAACAGGAAATGCCATTGAGTCACAGCATGCAGAGATGTTTCACCTAGTTAAGAAATCAAAGCCATAGGCTTGCAGGCAGTACCACGGCAACCCTGCAGCTATAGTGGAGACACAGGCTTTCAAGGGAAGTGTGGCACTGCCTTCCAGAGACACTCCGAAAGGAACACCCGAGATGCTCCATCCAAATAGCTCCCCTCCACCGGCTTGAAGCGAGCTGGGGTGAATGCAGTTTAAGTAGTGATTCCTGTAGAATCTCAGGCATAGGAACCATTTGAAATACGTGAGTCAGACTCCTGTTTTCTTAGGCAACCCCAAGTTAGGCTTCAATATAAAGGACTCTGGCTGACTCCACTGTCACTTCTTGAGAGCTTTCCAGAGAAATATGCATATTCAGTATATATTCTCTGGGAGCCTATCTGAACATAATTAAAATTTCTCACCTTGTTGACTCACCACTCATTGTAAGGTAGAGAATCTCTGAATGTGTTACTGAAGACAAATGCTTTTTGCTTTCATGAGAACTTGGTAGTTTCTGCTGATGTCCAATCTTAAATAGCATTGTGCATTTTATCTAGCTAGGCAGAAAACCATTTGGCTTGCTGAAATTTACAATAGTACAAAGTCTAAATATACAGCCCTCCTTTGAGAATCTTTAGATCAATCTCATTCTTATATCCTAAAACTACATGATACATGATAAAACACAAAACAAAGGAAATCAATCTGCCTTTATTAAGCCTTGTGCTTTCCTTGATGAATTAATAAAGAAAAAGACAGTTACAAATGAAATTACCTCATCAAAGCCAATAAAGTAAGGAAGGCCCCGTAACCCTTTGTCTGGGATAGGGCCTACTGTCTGGAGAAAATCAACAAATCTATTTTAAACTAAAAAGTAGAATTCTGTACTAAATAAGTACATTTTAAATGGCCTTTAGTCCAACCTGATCATGAATACTGTCTGATGAAAGAACCTCTTAAGCCAAAGTTTATTTAAGACATATTGATGCAGGGGCACTGTTTTAGCAAAGGTACAACAGGTGTAAGTAATTCTATTCCTCCCGGAAGTACAGAGGAGCCTAGAGTATGTTCCCTTTGAAGGAACTTCAGGCAAGCATTATCATTCCTTCTGTGCTTCATGCTATCAGACCTATCATTTTAATAGTAAGTCATTTGATTCTCTTCAGCTCTACCTGAAATCTTCACAATATA